TTTAGGTTTTAATTAACAATTAATACAACTACAGTCATTGAACAGTTAAATGACTAATTATTAAATCAACTACACTCATTCTTCACAAACAATTAATGAATAATGAATAATTAGTCTAAATTTTAATACTATAGTTGTTTAGAGTCTCTAGACTATTTAATTAACTATTATTAATTAAAAGTTGGAATAGACCCAACCGCCCAAAGCACAATTGAGAATTGTGAATTGACCATTGCCTATTAGAAAAGATAATAATTATTAATTAATGAGTATAAAGTATTGAATAGAATATTATATATTTAATATAATATTCGGTTTGGTTGAAAATCTCAGTCAAACCTAACCAAAACTGAAAACTGATTTTTTTAAAAAAAAATAAAAAACGAACTGAACCAATACCTTAATTAACCGAACTAAATTAGCTTATTTGGTTTGGTTTGATTCGATTTTTGGTTTATCAACCGAATTTGAACACCCCTACTAAATTTTATTCAAAAACAATCATTTCAAAAGCAATGATTAAGCAATTAATTTAACTTAAAAATAATTTAAAATATTAAATATATAAAAATAAAAATAAATAAAATTCATAAAAATGACTAAACAATTAATACAAATGTTGGGAATCAAATTTTCATACATAAAAGTGAGCTGGTTTACAAATGTCTCATCTTAACATGTAAAGCCAGCCACATACACTGGCTTCTTGGTAGTTATTCTAATTTGTCAAATTCTTTGTTTTTTTTTTTTTTAATTTTTGAGAATACATGTCTAAACGTGTACATCAACATTCCAATTTTTTCGTTAACTCATCCAATACATCTCGATTCGGAAGATTTTGTTTTTCATGCATTGTTACAACTTTCTGTTTTCTTCTTCCTCCATATACACTCGGCATGGCCATTCTCACAACTCATAAGGATTGTCATTTTGTTTTATTTTCCATTGTTTGTTTATTCTTCCTCCATAGTGGCCATTCTCCTTGTATTGTTTGTTTATTCTTCTCATTAACTGTAGGTATAGGTTCTTCATTGAGCTTTGTCATTTTGTTCTCCATCAATCATTTTCTCAATCAACAAACCTGCATATGAGCCTCGCAACTCTTATGGCCACTATGGATTTCATTTAGATTAACTTTCTATTATTTCAAGTAAATATTTCTAACGATTATGTCAGTTTCTGTATATATCGAAGGAACTGATATGAAATGGCTTCCATCTCATTCTCCTCTATTCATGAAGAGAGAGAGAGAAATCAAGCGACCTCTACCTCATTTACTTTTTCCTTTTTGACTCAGCAACCTACGAAATAATGGTTGATCTGGTACTCTGTTCGAACTCTCCTATACATTTGCTTTTTTTCTCTTTTTTTGTGTAAATAATTTCTTTGAATTTCATTTTTATTTTGTTTATTCTAAATATGTACTAGGAAAGATAATTATTATATTATTAATTAATTAATCTAATCATTGTTATTTCATTAAATAATAGGAAATTATTATAAAAACATATAATGATTAAAAACTAGTTAAATGAATGGGTTTACAAATTTCAAAATGATTAATTAAATACTAGATATGATTAAATAAATAGCAAAATGTTTAAATAATAAAAAACATAAAATATTTAAAAGTAAAAGTTAATTGAATAAAAAGTGTTAAAATAAGAAATGGTAATGATAAATAACAATTAAAATGGATTTAAAGGGCAAAAATTAATTCAACAATATAAAATGATTAAATAGTTACTAAAATACTAAAATTATTAAATTATAATAAATAATTTAGATCAATAAGATAACTTAGCTTATAATTAGTTAAATTCAACACTCGATTAAACTTATTTAATTAAGTTTACTTAATGAACATTAATTAAATCCAATAGCTTTGTAACATTTTCAGTTTAATTAACATAGCTCTTTTTTGGCTAGAGAAGCTTAAAAAATTATTAATTATAAAGACTTCTAATGGTGTGAGTTCCATTCTTTTAGATAGTTTATTAATTGCAAACTTGATTTAACATTTTTTGAAAGCATAAATTAATAGCGATTTTCAAACAAAGTAGGTTAGAATAGATTGTCAATTACAAAGATGTAAGACCCATATTATTTTTTCTAATTTAATTTTTTATAGTTAAATAGTAAATTTCAAACTAAATGATTATGTAGTTGCCCCTTACTTAGTATGGGGTAATCATCTAGATAAAACATGGTAAGTCTCTTAAATCAAATAAAAAACCTAACCTAATTGTCTAATATAAAAAATTTAAAATTTTGAAATAGTTCAGATTAGTGGCTCGACTTAGTATGGGGTCATTCCTAGTTCTTGTTTAATTACAATGTTGCATGGGTGGTCCATGTAAAATTAGCCACATAGATAGTTTAGGTGAAGAATGCATCTAAAACAATGCATCTACTAGTGGGGAATCGTGCGATGCACGGGCTTTGTTAAGCAAAAATTAAACAATAGAAACATATAAGAGCAGACAATAGTTTTATATTGTAAAATTTTAAAGAATTAATAATTATTTATATTTTATATAGTAATTTTAATATTTTTTGCAATACAAAAATAATAATAATTAATTTCAGCTAGGGTTGTTCATCAAACCGATGAAACTGGCCAACCTGATCCAACTCAACCCGATTTGGTAAGCTTTCTAATATTTCTAGTCTGCTTTGGTTTAGTAATTTTCCAACTTGATTAGGTTGGATCAATTTTGATTTGGCCATTTGGTTTAGTTATTTTTTCAATAGTACCGCTACAATTTTTTAAATTTAAATTTTTTTACTTTAAATCTTTTGAAATGACCAACCAAACCGAAAACCAACCTAAATTGATACAACTCGAATTGGCTAGTTTTCACTAATGGTCGATCGGTTTTGGGTGACCAACTCCCCAACCCAACCAAGTCAATTTAGTTGGCCAAACGATATGCAACCGAACTGACTTGTGAACATTCATAATTTCAACTAAATTAATAGTTAAATCTCAAATAAATAACAATACTTTAATCTCCAATAACTATTGATATTTTATAACAAAAATACACAATTATTGAATATAAATTTATAACAAAAATATAATAATAAATAATAAAAATACAATAAATACAATAAAATATTTAAACTTTTTTATTACTTAAATTTTATTTATTTGAAAGTTATTAAATTTTTAATCCATAAAATTATAATGCATATTGTTAATAATCTAAACATTATTAAATCTATTATATATATATTTTTTGTTTTTAATAAATATATTAAAGTTATTACATAATTTTGTTATAATATTTAAATAATTACTAAACATTTTAATTCAAACTTTCTTTAAATATACATAGATGAAAAGTGGGGGAGAGGATAAATAGGAATTAGAGATAATTTTGGAGAAAATAGGGGATAGTGGTGCCACTTGGCTAGATTGGATATGTAGAATAGATTAAGAGGAGTTCAAATCAGCCCCCCACAACGTCCCACACCACATCCCCGCCATGTATTGGGAACATCTTCCAATGATAATACCAGGAATGATGATTTATTTCATGGGCAAAGCCTGTTCGAGCAACCTTTACTACTTTGCATTGAGAATATCTCCATACTTATATGCTTTATTTCATGGGGAGATATCCCCAATACAAGATTGGGAAAGACTGTTAGAATGGTGTGGGCACAGGTTTGCCCTGATGGAAGTCGATCTTCTAGTAAAGAAGAAAGAGTTGCCATGTGGCTATATGGAAGGACTGGGAAGGGGTAAAGAAGAAAGGATAAAGGTTTAAGAAAATAAGAGAAAAGGGGAAAGAAAGAAGGAGAAGAGTATTGACTTGGGACAAATTTCCCGGATCTATGACATTCAATTCCAAACCAAAATTTGTGTTGTGTGATTGTTTCCAAGTTAATTACCAAAGTTGGATAGCTACGTTACAGTAGTACTCTTTTTGTTTCAGATCAATTGATTCCACTCAGTCGATCCATACTTGCATGCGACTCAATTTGATTTCATAATTGTAAGAACAAAAAGAGATTAGCCCCATGATCAAGGAAGGTTTTACAAAGTAAGGTGTTAAAGATGCATACTAATTAATGAGTTTAATAGCCAAAGAGGTTTGATATATAAGACTCTGAAGTGGTCATCGGTCTAAATAAATGGGTGATGTATGCATGCATGGAGAAGTAATTGGTTCATTGGCTGTGCTCGCCAACTGAATAGTCTAGTACGTCCAATCAAATGTCATAACCACTCCCTCTGAATTTCCATGAATTCTCATTGATTATTAGTGTGCAGCTCAAAACCCTTACTTTAGGAGATCAGCAGACTCGTTCTGACTTGGACCGAAGATTACCCAAATGTAAGTGCTTTCTGAAATATATATATATATATATATATATATATATATATATATATATATATATAATGATAATTTATAAATTAAGTTATTCAATATAATTAATAAAGTTAATATAAGTTTATTATTATTATTATTATTATTGAAAATCAAATTTTTAGAAAACATATTCCATTTTTTTGGAGAAGGTAAAGAAAGAATGGATTTTATAGGTAAACCCTGGAACAGACCCTACGAGGCCACAGGATCCAATCTTGACAAGGTAGGTTCTGGTTCCAAAAACCTAAAACCAGAGCCGAACCAACTCATGCTCATCCCTATTGGTTCATCTTGCCTTTTATTTTTAAATTTAAATTTTCATTATTTATTTATTTTGTTTATTGACTAATTAGTAATGTCATAAGACCAGTTAGACATAAAAAAAAATGATTGAATTGGATTTAGACTCGCTTGACTCAATTGAGAATGTCATTTTGCTTCAATTTCACTTAGGTTGTATTTGTTTGTGGTGTAAATATAAAATTGCACAGAGGAGTTTAACAACTGTCAAATTTTATGTGTAAAACTTGAACCGTCTTTTATACCCATTTACACTCTACTACATTTGGATGATCGGTGTAAAAGTAATGTTAGACTTTTGTATGTGTTTGGAGAATACCCATAATGTAAATCTCCACCCCTCTAAGTCCCAACTCTCTCTCCTCTCAAAGATGAGACGACTCAGAACTCAAAAGTCTGAACTTTGAGAAGTCGACAAAAGTGTTTCTTTTGTTCCTAGGTTAGAAAAAAGAGGGAAAACCTGAGTTGTAGAAAAAGTGTTTCTCTGGACTTGATTCAGCTTCCGATACTTGTTCTCTTACATCCAGTCTACGACAAATAAAGCAGAAAAAGCGAACACTATGCTCATGTTCTCTTACATCCAGTCTCATTTCTTTCTAATCTTCTTGTGAGAAATGATCAGAACTTACATTTCTATCTGTGTTTTCTTTCTAAAGATTTGTTTATTTGGACCTTTGTTTTCCAGGTTGCTCACTATTGGGATTTCCACTGACATCTCCGGATTTGAGCATCCGTGTTGGAATTGTTGGCTCACCAAATATACCCAGCAGCGTTGGATTTGATGAGACACCAAAACAAAGGGCGAAAACCGGATGAAAATCCCAACAGGGGAGGAGGGAAGCAGAGGAAGAAGAAGAAGAAAAAGGAGGAGAAGAAGAGAGAAAGAGAGACAGATGGGAGGTGGGTTCAGATCTATTGCTGCAACTGGTTGTAGCAGCGGTGACGGAAAGAGAAAAAAAGGGGGAAGAAGAAGAAGAGAGAAAGAGAGAGAACGAAAGAGAGACAGATGGGAGGTGGGTTCAGATCTACTGCTGCAGCTGGTTGAAGAAGAGAGAGAGAGAGAGAGGAGAAGAAGAAGAAGAAGAAGAGAAGGAGAAGAGAGAGGAAGAAAGAGCGATTACCTTTTACATCGATAATTTCAATGTAATTTTACACCGATATTACCCCAGTTCTATTTTCCACCCCAAACAAACATAGCTTTAATAAACCTTGTACATCACATAAGTCATGACTAGTATGTAATAAAGTGAGTTTACCTGCAAGAGCCTAGCAAGTAAGATCATCGGGGAGGGAATAACCTCTTTATAACTTCACTAAAAATTTGGAATGACTATATTAACCTAGTTAGGGGTGGTAATTTTGGATACCCATTTATGAATGGGGGTTTTACTGTTCAGTCCACCCCCAGAAATCTTACTTCCATCGTACAAGTGGGGTGAATCCTGACCATGGATCGATGCCAAATCTATGAATATGATGCATTTTTATAGGGGGATTACTAGTAAACTAAGAGGAGACTGTAATTTCAGTTTTCTAAGTTGGAGTGTAATCTATTTATCCCTTTATGAAGTGGGTGTGCCTGTCAACAGATGAAGAACACCCTTTCACGAGGGTGACATAGGACTGGCCCCTAAATTGTTGTTCCTCCATGTTGAGGGCTGGGGTTCAAAACCGTTGAACCCATTCAACCCACCCAAGCTTGATCAATTTGCTTAGTGGGTTTGGTTGCCCATTATATCGACTTAAATGGGTTGGGTTGTGGGTGGTAAGGTTACAACATAAACGATACAATTATTCAAGTTAAAAGTGTCAACATGTGATGTTATAATTAATTAAATAATAAAATATAAAAGTCGTTGGAAGTGTACATACTACTGATAACAAATGAGGATGAAAATGTAAAATTTAAGAGAGAATAATTTGATTATAAGAAATCAAGTGAAATTTGAGAAAAAAATAATTTAACTGTAAAAATAAAGTAGAAGACCACTACGACAAGCAAGGTTAGAAAAGTAAAAGAAAAAAAGAAAATTGGACTTATCAATTAAGGTGTATCTACGAAACCATCATTAAGTAGAATTTTGCCTCTCAAGTCTAGTGCACACATGCATATAGACATCATTTTCTAGGATTCACACGAATTGCAAATTCTTCATACTCTATTGATGCAATGTTTGAGAATGGGAAAATGCCAAAAAGAAGTGTATAGAAAAGAAAATTGGAGAGAAGAATGTTCTTGTATGTGTTGAGTCTCAAATGATCATTGGGCATGTATATACCCAATGACACCTTCTAAGGCATTAAACAAAGAAAAGGCACCTATCAAAGGTTTGCCAAGTAAGTATCAAATCAAAAAGACATTTAATAAAGAAAATGTTCCAAATGATGGGTTGGCAGGTTGCTAACGAACAGTCGCTAGTTTAAATTAAACAGACGTATTTTAAGAAACTTTAAATGAAAAGACACTTTTAATTGAAAAGTAGAAATGTCACTTGTCATCACTTGCCAATAAAAGGTCACTTACAATTTAAATTAAAAAAGTTATTTAAAAGAATTTTGGATAAATTATACATGTATTAGAATTTTGGATAAACTATGATATGAAAAAAATATGATATCAATCAATTGGAATCATAAATGTGGTAGCCAATCAGGTGTTATTTATCAAAATTCATGGGTGGGTTTTCATTGGTCAAAACTCTTCCCATACCATATCTTTTCCACATCATAGATTTTCCCATTAGAATTTGTATTCACGGGAAAAAAAATACCCCTACAAACTTTTGAATCAATACACTAAGTGTGTTTTTGACACTAGAGCATTTCACAAGTATACCAACGTACCGTTTCTATTGATGTATCATATGCACCACACCAGAAATTACACTGAATCGACAAGAAAATCGCATTTGGCAATCTTGTTTCTCAAGAAAAAAGAAATAATTTTGCAATGATTAGCTTCAGGATTCAGGGAAGGAGGGGTTCTTGAAATGTCAAATTGGCATTTCTTGAATTTTCTTGATGATCCCAAATCGCCCTAGTGACATGGCATATTGAAAATTGAAAAGGCTGACTATTTTTCTAAGATGTCACATAGTTGTCATTATAAATATATTATAATATTAAACCAAATAACTTTAAATGCTTAATAAACTTACATCTCATTTTTTGTGTTTTTCAAAAATAAATAAACAGATGAAAACGAAACACTTGTGAATTGGGGCCCACTTGTGAAATGCTCTAGTGCCAAACACCATGTATATTAAAAGACTACAAAATGGGTTTTACTCAACCCTAACCCAACCCTCCTATCCTCTAGACTTTTAATTGTATTTTTTGTGATACATTTTGAAAACTCAAGAGCCATTAATTTAAAGTTAAAGAAAAAAAAATAAAAGTGTACCCTTTATATATGTAGGGGTATTATGACATAATGGCTAGGGTTAGCAAAACATAAATTCGATTTGAATTAAATAATCAAAACTCTAACTTAACCCTACACCCTATTTAGGTTAAAGCAAATATTGAAAGAAATCATAAGCTTTAAAAGGTTAGGGGTTATAAGTCCAGACCAAACTAAAAGAATATACTCTTTATATACGCAGGGGTATTATGCCCTGATGGGCCAGGTTAATTAGTCAAATCTACACCTAACTTGGGTCAAATAATCAAAACTCTAACTTAACCCTACATCGTTAATAAGCCATAAGTCAGACCTTAACCATTTAGGAGTGAGTTAAAGTCGAATTTATCATTTAACTTGATTCATTTACATCTTTATACGAGATTAATCACTTTCACTAAAAATATAATTTATATTATAAATAGAAAATTAAATATAACTCAAAAATATAACGGAAAAATACGAACAAACCTAATGCATATTTCTAAATCCTAGTACAGATTTATAAACATTCAAAATCTCAAATACCCACACTTTATGCACCAACGTACACCCATACATTAACAACCATTCTCCCAAAATATAATGCATGACTTGGATTGAATGGCTCAATTAAAAATGTAATGAGGATATTTCAACATCAATTTTGCCTAACAGGACCCGTACATCGCATAGGCCCCTGTTGAAGAAAGAGGTGAAAAGAGTACATGAGATAGTGATAAGATATACAATCTAATTTTCCATTAACCAGACACGTTGCATTTACTATTTATCTGCTATTAAATCAATTATGATTTGTAAGATATTGTAGGATTTCAGCCAACCAACCACGACGAGAAAGTAGAAAAAAATCATTATCGTTCGACTACGACATGAAAAAGATACCATATTAAAAAAAACAATTGATCAATCATCCTTTTCTGCATCATAGATTTTTTCTTTAGGAAATAAATTATTTAAGTATCATGGACCTCGTTTCTCTTCTTTTTTTGAGAATGTTTAATTCTCTTTACATTTATTCAATAAACGTTTATTGAGGTTCTCAAATAGATATCACTTCAGCATTTTCCTTCTCTTATTCTTTTATATGTATAAAATTTATTTGTTTTATATGCATATTAACCGTTTGTAAAATTTTTATAAACGGTCAAACATTTTTTCACCTATGCTGAAGTAAAGTCTAGTGACGCATAATTATAATAAACAATTGTAATTATTGCATTTCTCTTTTTTACAAACAAATAAAATACAAACGCCTATTCAATGCATATAAACGGAATCAAACACATACTTTCTCTTCTAAAACAAAAAACCTCCACAGACTGACCACAGTTTTATACTTATACTTACGCACGTGAGAAGAGAACGTTTAAGTTTAGTTGAGGTACGTGTCTTGATGCGATAGATAAAGCCTTCTTGCTTGTATTGGTTTTCCTAAGCCTTTGATGCACGCTGTACGTGTGGCCCTCTCATCTCGCGCGCCCTTATAACCCCTCTATAAATTGCCTCCACACCTCCTCGTCTCTTTTCAAACAAATCCAGCTGCCAAGGAAGCACTCCTATACAACAATACTCCCGTCCTCCTCCTCCTCCTCCTCCTCCTCTCTCTCTCTCTCTCTCGGTTGGACTTCAAATGGACGTTCGCCGGAGGCATACTAAACCCCCACGTCCGGCCATCACTGCACCCAGCGGACCCCATCGACAGCAGCAGCAGCAGCATCACAAGCATTCGAAGGCCGTTGATCATGCTGCTCCCCCGACCCCACACCCACAGGCCTCAGATGCCCTCCCTCTCCCTCTTTACCTCACCAACGGCATCTTCTTCACTCTCTTCTTCTCCGTCGCCTACTTCCTCCTCCACCGTTGGCGTGACAAGATCCGGACGTCTACCCCTCTCCACGTCGTGACCCTATCCGAGATCGCCGCTATTGTCTCTCTCATTGCTTCCTTCATTTACCTCCTCGGCTTCTTCGGCATCGATTTTGTCCAATCCTTCATCACCCGTGCGTCCCACGATGCCTGGGACGTCGACGATGAGAACGAACAGTTCCTCATCGAAGATGACCGTCGATGTGGTCCATGCGCTTCCGAAGTCGTTGGTCAATGTCCTCCCATCCCTCCTCACAAATCCCCACTTCCTCCGTCTCCCCCTGCTGTTCTTCCTCCCAAGATGGTGCATACCGTCCCCCTCGTCACCCCTTCGGCGGAAGAAGATGAGGACATCATCAAATCCGTTGTCGCCGGTACCATTCCCTCCTACTCGCTCGAATCCAAGTTAGGAGATTGCAAGCGTGCCGCGGCAATCCGCCGTGAGGCCCTGCAAAGAATGACGGGGAGTTCTCTTGCTGGTTTACCTTTGGAGGGTTTCGACTACGATTCTATTTTGGGCCAATGCTGTGAGATGCCTGTTGGGTACGTCCAGATTCCAGTGGGAATTGCTGGGCCATTGTTGCTTGATGGAAGGGAGTTCGTTGTGCCGATGGCCACCACCGAAGGGTGCTTGGTGGCAAGTACCAACAGGGGTTGTAAGGCGATTTATGCCTCTGGTGGGGCGACGAGTGTGTTAATGAGAGACGTGATGACTAGGGCGCCGGTCGTGAGGTTTGATACGGCCAAGAGAGCTGCAGAATTGAAGTTCTTCGTGGAGGATCCGACCAATTTCGATACATTGGCGCTTGTCTTTAACAAGTAAGTTCCATTTTTTCCCCAATACCTTTTCAATTTCCATTTTTCCATTCGGAAGTTTGGTGCATTTCGTCGATCTTTACTCTTCATTTTTGTAAAAAGTGTGATTTGTCAAGAATTGTCATTATTTTTCTTGTATTTTGACTATGCTGTCATTTTCTTTTTTACGTTGTTTGGATGTTGATGGGGTGCTTTACGTCAGATTTCTGCTAACCAACTTGGTGTTTACGTTGTTATGCGTTTCAACTTGTAACTTGGAGATTATCATGTTCAGCGTGTGTATATTATATCTAGTTAGAAACGATTCTTATGCTCAGCGTGTATTATATCTGGTATATTTTTTTATTTTGGTTGCAGATCGAGTAGATTTGCGAGGCTGCAAGGCATCCAATGTGCAATAGCCGGAAAGAATCTCTATATGAGATTTAGTTGCAGTACTGGCGACGCTATGGGGATGAACATGGTCTCCAAAGGTGTACAGAACGTCCTGGATTTCCTCCAGAACGATTTCCCCGACATGGACATCATCGGCATCTCTGGTTAGTTCCTTATTCCTGCCTTGCCCCACCACTTGCCTTTCTGCATTAGTAATTTAGTATCCACTATAATTTTTGTTTTCCTTCGTGATCTTGTTGTATGTTTTTTCTTAACAACTTCTTCCTTGAAATTGTTACTACCCTGGAAATAAATATAGTTTTCTCACATCTTGCGTGAATGGTGCGGCCTTTCCGATTAGTACTTCCTCGTCTTGTTTCTCTTTTTCCTCCACTTAAACATATCAGTTAAAACCCTTTTCAGTAGATCTTTTGAATTATGTCAGTTAATTTCGTTGTCAAAAAGAACATATTTCTGGTTGTGATTTCTGAGTTGATGATCTTTTTCTATTCTAGTTTGTTTGGCAATTTGAATTGATTTTTGTTTGTTCCATGTCTGGCAATTTAACAGGAAATTTCTGCTCAGACAAAAAGCCAGCTGCTGTGAACTGGATTGAAGGGAGAGGCAAGTCTGTAGTATGTGAGGCTATCATTAAGGACGAAGTGGTGAGGAAGGTGCTGAAGACCAGTGTCTCTGCGCTTGTTGAGCTTAACATGCTCAAAAATCTTACTGGGTCGGCAGTGGCCGGTGCACTTGGTGGTTTTAACGCCCACGCAAGCAACATCGTTTCTGCCATCTTCATAGCGACTGGCCAAGATCCCGCGCAGAATGTGGAGAGTTCTCACTGCATCACCATGATGGAAGCTGTTAATGATGGAAAGGACCTGCACATCTCTGTGTCCATGCCATCCATTGAGGTAACTAATTAACCCCTCTATTGATTCTCCTCTACTGTAACTATTTCAATCTTGACTGACGGCTTCACAACAACCATAAGATAGGAGATGAAAAATTTTTTGAAGCTTTCTCAATTGTAACAACTTGATCTCAACCTAGGCTGTGTTTGTTGTGTTTCCGCTTCTTTGACAGAGAAGTATAGTTAATAGATATTTTTCATCCTGGAAAATTTTTCTGGCCAGTTTACTTTCACAAACGAAGCATTAACGGTGAATGAGTCGGTGCCCCTGATGCAATTCATTTTTGCAGACCCGCTCCTCTGGCCATGAAATAAGGACGAGTGGTTTACCCTTTAGAATTTTATTACCAGAGAATTAAGAAAAAAAATAAAATAAAGATGTCGTTATCCTTGGGACTTCTAGAATGAATGAATATTTTGGTGTGTTGTTGCAGGTGGGTACGGTTGGTGGGGGCACCCAGCTTGCGTCTCAGTCAGCTTGTCTGAACCTACTTGGCGTAAAGGGCGCGAGCAAAGAATCACCAGGATCAAATTCAAGGCTCTTGGCCACCGTTGTAGCTGGCTCCGTACTTGCAGGGGAGCTTTCACTCATGTCTGCCCTTGCAGCAGGGCAGCTTGTGAAGAGCCACATGAAATACAATAGATCGAGCAAGGATGTCTCCAAAGTTGTTTCTTAAAGCCAGGCAAAAGATTAGAGGGCCTTCCTTCAGATAACAGAAACCCCAGCAACAACTTTAAAATAAAATAAAAAATAGAAATAAAACTTCAACGAAGCTGAGAGAGAAAGAAAAATGGCAAGGTGAAGGTGGGGTAAGAAGAAGAAAACGAGAGAGAGTGAGGAGCAAACATGTTTTGTACTCTTTTATTGAACTGTAACTCTCAAACCATGTGAAATTGCACTTCTTCATGGCTGGAAAGTTTGCAATTATGCAAAGAGAGTTTGAACCTTTGGGTGGGGGCGGTTAACTATGTAGATGGTTGTGTATTTAGGTTAGGTTAGTTTTTCCCAACCTCCTCTGCCACTAGTCAGCGTGAAGAGCATGTAACCTTTGGTCTGACTCACTTGTGTATCTTGTTGTGGCCCATCTCTGTTTTTTATGGCTCTTATCTTCTGTTGTCACTTTTAGTAGCTTGTTTACCCTGTATGAACTATCAACTCTGGAAATTAGCAAGTCGGGAAAAAACCATCTCAAATGAGATTTAAATGAATGTTTCAAGTTTTCATGTGATCTGACGTTTATGTTGTTTCTGCTTTTTTTTTTAATTTTAATTATGGGATTAATGTAGCATTTGGCATTCCTTATTTTAAGGGCTTTTCTCCTTTTTTGTGCTTAAAAATTAAAATTAAAATGCACATATGAATACTGAGTTTTTAATAGATAAGTCATTAAAATAATAAATGCCAAGACTATTTGATATCAACCTATAAGTTTTTTCTTTCTTTTTTTAGATAGAAACCTAGGAGTTTTTTCTTATGAGAAACAAATTGGCAAAGACGAGATCACACACAGGAGGCCGGTGGTCCAACTTATTGTATAACTGGTTCTCTCCCCACTTAATTTTTTTTTGGTTGAAGTCCTTTCAATTGACTTCGGTTGTAAGCTACGATAACAAACTGCCAGATTAGAAAGGGCGAAATGAAATTCAAACCTTAAACCAAGAGGACAAAAATATTGAGGGCTTTTGGTTACCCCATGAGGTCAGAGAATAATTAAATTAGAAATAAGACAAATATACTTCTTATTATATATAAATACATACATGTAGAAAAATATGTTTTAATTTAATAACCTCTATGAAAATTTCCAAACGAAGGCCCATAACAAAAATTGCTTCTAACACACATTGTATTACAATGCCATTCTCGTGTAAAAACTTGTTTTGATGGTATCTTAAGAAATGAGGGGAATTTTTACAAAAAAAAAAAGAAATTAGGAGAATTTAGACTATGAAGTCCTATTTGGTATCTATTGCCGGACAAGTTAGCTGAGGGCAACAAGGTAAATTCACTCTTTAAGTTCCGTGCGTTAGCCGAAGACCTCGAGAAAGGTTGACCGAAGTTAAAGACAACAAACTGAGGCGAAGTACTCCTTCCGAGGACTATGGTAGGCAAGGACTACTAGTTGAGGCGAGGTCCCTAATGACCTGAGGTACTGCAAGACAGGGAGTGTCGAGACCTCGGGGTGGATATCCAAGGCGGAGGCTCCGACGCTCAAGTTAGTACGAGGTGTGAAGCAGGGGGCAGTACAAAAGTGCTCATGGAGAGAGTCCTCGGATGCACCAGAACTCCCTGAATTAATGCTAGGTAGATAACGTAGGTGCAAGAAGTAAATGAGTGAGTGATGTGTGAGTTACTCCGTTCCCGCCCCTTTTAAGGGGCAATTACCTCTTATTTATACTTGAGCATGCTGGTGGTAGGTGAAGATGAACGCCTCGGATGAGAGCCGTACGAGGTCAGGCTGCAGGCCCTGGTGGTACGCCAAATAGTTATGTGATTGGCTCCGTACGAAGGCAACAGGACTCCCTCATACTGTCACTGACGTTAGCAGACATTAGTGGGCTGGGCCAAGCTAAACCACATCAGTATCCATCCGGAGAATCGATTCTGACAATTCTATCGATTCTTCGGATGGGAATGCCATTTGGTTGAGGCAGTTCTCCAAAATATATTCTATCCAGAATAGAATCATAAGTTTTTTTTGGCCATGAAAAAATTCACTTCTAACATGGATGGATTCTTAGTGGAGATGATTCTTGCTACGTCTCTATTAAAGTTACAAACATGTGTGCTATATTAACACGTGAGACGGTGAGAACATGGATTTTTTAGTCGTTTCTCCACAAAACATAAGCCCAGCTTGAAAAAAAGCCCTAACCATCGTTTTTCATCTTCCTCCATCTTCACTCAATAACTCTTTCTACTACCCTTGCAAAAGGGCATTGTTGGAGCACAAAAATTAATGCGAATAAATTCAAAGGATTTTTTTTGTTGTAGAAATTTAAGTGGAATACAAACTCTCTTTTTCTTGGCAAAGAAAACTCTCTGATTTTCTTGTCTTGGATGAAATCCAAAATCGCAACTAGAACTTGCAATTATGAGAAGCAAGAAATGCCCGACCTTGTGTGAACAAAAATTTATTCACGCTCAAACAATGATTAGAACGTGAACAGCTGAAAGCAATGTCCTCACTTGTAGAATTGACAAAAGCCTTTTGGATCACGGGAATTTGAAGATCGGAATTTCACGGGTTGATGTGGTACGAAGTTGTAGCAATTTCGATGCTTCGGCAGTTGAAGAGTTGGAGTCTTTCTTCTTTCTTCCTTGATCTTAATACAACCCGTTTCCTCTCCTTTTTCAAAAGCAACGGAAGTGGTTGGAGACGAATGGAAGCGATCGGAGACGAAATTGATGGTTGAAGAGGGGGGAGCCGAATGGGAGAAAGACCCTCCGAACAAGAAGGGAATCAAGATTTTAATAATCAATTTGTGATCTGATTTAAAGGATTATTAAGAAAGGAATTGGATTCATTCCCCTCCCATTTAAAGACAAATGCCACTTGGCAATAGGGGATTGCCCATGCAACTCCTAATTTATTTGACTAGACTTGACTTCCAAACTTGGCCGATTATTATCAAGTAGATGTACATATCATTATTATTATACATACTATTAAGAATATTTAAGTTTTTTAATTATAATAAATATGTTATAGAAATTTACTTTATAAGTTTATGGTACATTTTATAGCCAGTATTCATTTGCAGATTTCAGAAGATGAGAACAAAAAAAATTGAAACAATTGTTGTTGGAAGTGTAAAAGTGACTCATTAACAAGGCAATGTTGACATTATTTTTCTTAAATAATACAAATTTTCTTTACTTGTGCATGAATAAATGACATGATAAATCATTATTACCAATGCGAGGAATATATGGTTGTTTTTTTGATCCTTCCATTACAAAGGAATGTGATCTTCTAAGTTCTACCAAAGTAAAAGTGTTTTAACAAGTTCTTTAAGTTTATAATTAAATATAATTTTTATATTATATTTTTTATTAAAATGTCAATACGATGATTCAAGAAACTCCTCTTCTCATGTATCCCAAGACTAATCATTCTAGACGATTTATCAAACACATTTTTTTTTTCTGATGCGGTAAGCTGGTGAAATAGAAATCTCATGAACCGGATTGGTGCCAAACACCCACATATATGTCAATGGGTTGTCATGCTACTTAATTATTTGCAGTTGCTGATATATTAGTAAATTGGTTAATTTGCTAATTAATTAAATTAGGGGAAATTCTCGATTAGTTTCCTGTACTTTGGGCCTAGTTCCATTTTGTTTCTCAAATTTTAAAACGTTTAGCATTCGAACTTTCAAAATGTGTTAATCCAATACTTGTTGTTAATTAAACGTTAAGTGGTATTTGAAAAGACATAATTGCCTTTCGAGTGTCATCTAATTTTCTTTGTTAATCATGTGGTGATTTCAATTTTCTTGAATAAAAGAGAAAAGAATTTGGGACTGTTCATTTTTTGTCAATATTTAAATGGTTGATAAAGAAAATTAGATAGCATTCCAAGGGCATTGTATCTTTTCAAATGTCACTTAATGGCTGGTTAATAGTAAACCACTGAAATGTCAATTAGTTCAAGGGAACAAAATGACACTAGGCCCAAAGTACAAGGTACTAATGATGAATTTTCCCTTAAATTAGGTAGTTTACATATACTAATAATAACATGTGTCAATCCACTTAAATGTTTAAATGCTTGGCAGTACCATTTGGCCATGAGGTTTGATAAATAACAATTCCCACGAATTATGAAGGTTTGATGAATAACAATTCCCATGAATTTTGATGAATATCATGTGTCATTGTCCAACTGTTTCCAAATTCACCCATCTAGGGGTGAAAGTTGGGTAGGTTGGGTCGGGGTTATGGTGAACTCAGGCCCGATCCTAAAATTTGGACTTAAGGCTTAAGTTTAAGGTCAAACTCGGTCTTCTAAGTTCGAGCCCAGCCTGCTCTATAATTTGATGCACTTAGGTTGGTCTCAAGCATGGGCCGAATTCAGGTTGGTTAATGAATTTGATCCAATCCCGGGTTCGGGCTATTAAGGGCTAGGCCTAGAATCGATCCAAAAAATAAAAAAACCCAACTTCTTGGCCCCAAGCCCAATTTGAGGACCGAAAATCCAAGTCCAACCCATATAAAATTTCAGGCTGGGTCGGTTTGGGCTCAGGCTAGGCCCACCCAAGTTGCACCCCTATACCCAACTACAACATAGTTAGACTATATGCTCCATTTGGTGCATCTTTTTGCATGGGCTGTCAACTTTTTAGAAGCTTGGCAGCTTGCGTTTTGGTATTTTCCCGTTTGGTTGGAAAAATATCTAGTCGTCGAAAGCCGTAGCCCTGAAAAGACACTGAAAATCCATTTCTGACTGTTTTCGAGTTTTACGTTTTTTTTTACTCATTTTCACGTAAAAAGACGTACAAACAGATGCACATTAACCAAACAATCTTCAAACTACTAAGATTTTTATGCAAAACTCATATATACCGTTAGAAGCTTAAAGCTTACGGAACATCTTTAAAAATAGACTTGTCAAACGGCCGCTATGTTTGGCTTGATACAAACTCCATTTCATTTGATTATTACTTATGAGATCAAGTAGCTATGGCCTTTGGGTCTTGGCTCTTGGGTCCCAACTCCCAGAGTCGCACACACCGCCAGTTTAAGACTTCAGAGTAGCCTATATTCGTTAAACTCTCCCCACCAATCTCTTCCCAAATTCGAACTGACAAAAGATAAAAAGTAAACACAAAATTACAGACTTTACTCGGTGAGAATAGTCATAGAACAAAATCGTAGAAAGAATTCCGTTCTGAGTGAGTTTCGCCGCAATGGGGAGCGGTTGGAGAAGAACGGTGGGAAATGTGAGATCCTTCGTTGGGAACTCGATGGGAGGTCTGACAGGAGGAAGTAATCTTGCTGCATGGGTTGTCGCGGGAACGTTAGCATATTTTCTCTGGGTCAAACCCTCGCAAGACCTTAAGAGAGAACAAGAGGTTCTTCTTCTTCTTCTTCTTCTTCTTCTTCTTGTGTTCCATGTGGCCTTTACAATTTTCGCATCTTCCTTTGGACTTCAGGAAAGGGCAGCTCTAGCTGCAGCTTCGGATCGTTATCGTTACGTAGAGAAAAGAAAACCTATCCCTGATCCCCAGGTAATTTCATTGTTTTCTTTGATAAAAAAGGTTGGTTCTTATGTGAAAACATTAGGTTTTCTTTGTTTTACCTTTTCTTTTTTTGGAAATTAAGTGAAATTTGGATGGTTTTTGCCAGGAAACTGGTTTGATATATGGGAAGAAGAACACAACGAAGAAATTGGAGGATTAGTTACCAAAATTGCACAGTGAGTTGGGATTTGTTTCTTTTTTTTGTTATTACATTCCTATTCAGAAAATTTAGGAGGATTGGTTGTATGAAAAACATAACTTGAACATATTTTTTCCTGAAAGTTGCATGGTATTGTTATGATGGATGTACAGAATGAAGAAAGTGACTTTGACAAGATTTAGGAGAGATTGCAGGGGATAGTACAGAATGAAGAATAATTGAGTGGATTTGTATTCACAAGATAAATGGGGAATTGACAATAAGAAAACCAAAGAAAGAAATTACAATAGAAAATTCAAACTCTGTGGATTCTGGATATGAAGTAAAAAACAAAACAAATAATCCCTTAATACAGGACAAGTGCAATATAAAAATAAAAAATAATATTTTATATTACCAGAGCATAGTTCATTGGATACGCAACTAAGGGACCAGATATCAAATGTTGTGGTCATAAGAGAGCCCCAAATATCTCAAGCACCAATAGGATCACAAATGAAATCCTAATGATAAAAGATAGTGAAGCTAAATTGTAAACCTAGTAAATACCATTTGCTCACTTCTAAGTTGATCAATCAACAATAACCTATAACTAATGATTTTTAATTTTTCCAAATTCCTCAAGTTTTCTAGACCTCTGAATCTCTGAACCATGTGTATGGGCCGAATGCCTTCATACATATGGTATACAGAATCTTATATTATATATGATTATAATTGAATGCCTTCATACATTATTGTAGAAATTTGTATCAACTTCTTTTGCTTATATATATGGTATACGAAATCTTATACAGAATAAATAAACAAGGAAAAAAATGAAAAAAGTTCAATAGTTTATCCCCCCTCACTTTTTTCTGTGCACATGCATTTCAGGCCAGAAAAATTCTGCAAGTTAGTAGAGAACACATATAAATATAGATAAAATTTGACAATTCTACAATGTATTCTGTTATCATGAAATTATGAACCAGGAACTAAGATAAATCCACCACTCCAGTTATATAGTCAATATACAACTTATGGTACTTGAAACATCACTAAACTCTATTGACACTCCAATTAAGTGATTCACAAATTTAGAGAACACATATCCCATGTATGAATGGGCATAAAACTGCCAATACAAAAGGACAGAAAAGTTAGTGAACATTTCAAGGCTGAGATTAGCTACATGACATATGCACAATATGTAATAGCATGGAATTCCAATTTACAACAAACCACCTACTTGACCCCTTCAAATCCATTGTCTAACCAAGGTGGCATGCTAGACATCCTTTGAGTTTGGTTAAATCACCAAAGCACAACTGCTAACTAAAACCAGATCCTTCTTAACCATTAATTAAAGTCAACCTTCCTATATGTTGATTAGGAATAATGTAACCAAGTTCTGAATTGACATTACTTGATCTCACATAACCAAATGCTCAAAAATTTGTTTTAGACTTTCATTGTATGAGCAACACAAAGATGAGGAGAGAAAATTCATGTACACATCCAATACACCATTGCATAATCACCAAATACCAAGTATCAACAATCAAGTGATTTTTTTTTATCAATAACAACAGCTTTTCATTAAAATGAAACAAAATTAATTACAAGGAAGGGGAGATAAACTTTCTTAACAATCAAGTGAATTTCAGCCAAAAAGTTTTAAAATTTCAGCCAAATACCAAGTATCAACAATCCATGTCTCCAACCTTCCTCTCAAACCCTTTGCAGAAAACTTTGCTGTTGGCTTTGCAAACTCTGATTCCCAGCTTCCGGAGTGGCTCCACCTTGGATCCCTAATTATTTATAGTAAGAAGGTCTTATCTCAAGATGGTAGCCATTGGTGAATACCCAAGAAGAAGACCCAAACTTTGACGGCTGGTTAGAAATCTGGAGTCTTCCATTCCACTTGTGGTCTTGGCCAATCTTCGAACTTATCGGTAACCTCTGTGGGGCTCAAACTTATTCATAGAAATACTAGGTCCTTGAAGGATTTGTCTTGTGTGAGGATTCAAGTCAGAGCATGAAAAGCCTGCTTAGTGCCTAGATCGATCCCTATTCATGAGAGAAATATCTGGTTTAGCATTAGAATTTCTGTTACGATTCATTAGTCCCACATTGGTAGTATGGGATGCCATTGTGGGGTGTATATATGTCTGGGTTCCCACCCTCTAACAGCTAGCTTTTAGGGGTGAGTTCTCCTAAGGCACATAACAGATGGTATTAGAGCGTACACTATGCCTCCTAGTTGCAATCGTGCGGCGCAGGTGGTGACGTCGGTATTGCAGTGTTCGGCCAGGACTAGGGAGACTAGTACAAAGCCAGCCTGCGTGAGCGCTGCTGGGACTGCGGAGCGTGGTGGAATGTTACGATTCATTAGTCCCACATCGGTAGTATGGGATGCCGTTGTGGGGTGTATATATGTCTGGGTTCCCTCCCTCTAACAGCTAGCTTTTAGGGGTGAGTTCTCCTAAGGCACATAACAATTTCAGTGGGGAAGACGACTGAGTCAACTCAGAATCGAGCGCAAAAGTCACCAAAGCTCAGGCACTCGGCCTTCTTTGGCCCAAGCAATTGGCACTCTCAAAGATGCTGAAGAACACCCCAGTTTGAATTCTAGCCCTTTGGTGGAAAGAGGTTAAATGAGAAGGAGAAGACAAGTTATTCGAAGATTCCTTCTACTCAAAAACCCATGCTACCTCAAATCCTACAGCTCTCTGGTTCTACTCAAGCGGCTACTTGGAAGATCGGGAATAGAGTCTCTCACAACAGATTTGCTAGCCTGGAACAGTTGGGGGAAACATACCCGGGGAGTGAAGATTCTCCCACTACCCCTCTGTACCCCCTAGGTGTTTCGGCTGAAATGCCCCCTTTAGAGTATGATGAGCACCACAAGGTTCTTTGTCATCCGACCTCCCCCCCCCCTTCTGATTGCTCCTATAAGGGAAAAGATGACTCCAATGACTCATCAGAGCCTTACAGAATGGAAGTTGAAGCCAACCTTTCCGGAAGCTACAGAATCAAAGAGCTGTACTCAGATGTTTCAGCAAGCACCAGAAGTAAGATGACTGAGCCACCTTCTTTGACCGGCAAGGCAGGAACTGTCTCCCAAGAACCCAGTTCTTCTCTGAACCTCCAATCTCAACACCCAGGTACCATCTCCCCTGTCCCCCTAGTCACTTTGCTTTATTTTCTCCTCTTGAATGCATGCCTTGTGACTTGTCTTCTGGCAGTCTCCCCAATCTTGTCACATGTCTGGCCCTCCTGGTATTGTTCCTCCCTCTTCTACATTGATACCATTATAGGAAGTCCAGAGTGCAGACTTTGGAGGGTGATAAAGTTAATGGCAAGGATGGTTCAGAAATGGATACAGATAAGGTAGCAAAGGTTTTTGGAATTTCTTTGGTAGAGGATGGCAACTCTCTAAAAACCTAGATCAGTTAGAGAATTGAAGAAGCTTCAGAGCAATTTGAAATGGAAAAATGGATTTCAGTGTATGGCTGGTAGAAAGAAGGCAGCAGGGATTTCTATGGCAGATAACCATGAGGGTTGTCTCTTGGAATGTGCGAGGACTAGGTGGAGATGGTAAAAGAGCTTTAGTGAAAGTTACTGTTTCCAATAAAAAAAAAGAGCTTTAGTGAAAGGCACTCTTAAGAAGCTAAACCCGTATATAGTAGTTCTGCAAGAAACTAAAAAAGAGTCTGTTGATAGGAGGCTAATTAAGGCTTTTGGGAATGTTAATGGTAAACGTTGGGCTTCGATTGCCTCCTCCAGGGCATTGGGTGGGTTAGTGATTATTTGGGATGAGAATCAAGTTTCTGTACAGGAAGTTGACAGAGGGAACCATTCTCTTTCCATCCTCTTCACTAATAAGTCTGATGATTTCACCTGGATCTTCACAGGTTTCTATGCTCCAAACTCCCCTAGGTTAATAGAGAACTTATGGGATGGGCTGGAAAGTGTTGGATCTCATTGTCAGCTCCCCTGGTGTGTAGGAGGTGACTTTAATGTCAGCAGATCTGTCCTAGAGAAATCCAATGGAGGACGGCTGACTTCAAGTATGCGAAGGTTCTCCCATTTTATCAGAGATCTTTTTTTAGTGGACCCCTCCCTGTCTAATGCCAGGTATACTTGGTCGAATTTGCAAGCTGAAGCAATTTGTAGTAGGTTGGACAGATTTCTTTACTCTTCTGATTGGGAGAATCACTTCCCCAAGATGGTTCAGACAACCAGACACCACTGTACTTCAGACCATTGGCCAGTAATTTTGGATACAGAAAAATTATAAGTGGCTAAGAGTCCTTTCAGGTTTGAAAAATTTTGGATTTTTCATCCTGACTTCAAAGATGAAGTGACCAGATGGTGGGAAGAATGTAATTCTGAAGGTTGGGCAGGCTTTAGGTTTGGACAAAAGTTAAAATATATCAAGAAGAAATTGAAGGAATGGAGTAAGCTGAAATTCAAAAAGATTTCAGAAGAAAAAGACAAGTTGTTAGCGGGTATTACAAATCTGGACGCCAAAGAGGGTAATGGGCAATTAGAGAGAGAGAGAGAGAGAGAGAGAGGATTTGAATAAAAGAAATGAGATTCGAGCTGTTCTAGAACAATTAGTGTGGAGGGAGGAGGTTAAATGGAGACAAAGAGCCAGTGTGAACTGGTTAAAAGATGGAGATTGTAACACCCGATTCTTTCACAACTTTGCTAATGGTAGGAACAGAAAGAATTTCATCTCTAAGCCGATGGTGGACGACTGGGAGACAGAGGAACCCCAAATTATTAAGGAAGAAATAGTAGATTTCTTTGAAAAGCTTTATTCATCGGACAAAATATGGAGACCTTTGTTATCAGAAGGGACTGATCCAAAGATCTCGGAAGCTAAAAAGTCTTGGCTTGAGAGAGACTTTAGTGAAGAGGAGATTAAAGAGGCAGTTTTTAGCCTTGATGAAGATAAGGCCCCTGGCCCTGATGGATTTTCTTCGATCTTTTATCAGGAGTACTGGGATATCATCAAGTCTGATT